ATCTGGGGTGGGGGGGTCTGTCTCCAGGTAGATGGTGTAGAACTGAGTTAAAGGGCAGCCCGGGTGGCTCAGCAGTTTAGCGCCGCCTTCAGCCCAGGGCATGATCCTGGAGACCGGGGATCGAGTCCCACGTCGGGCTCCCTGCATGGAGCCTGCTTCTCCCTCTGCCTGTGTCTCTGCTCCGCTCCCCCACTCTCTGTCTCTGTCTCTCATGAATAAATAAATAAACTCTTAAAAAAAAAAAAAGAACTGAGTTAAAGTGTGGGGCACCCAGCTGGTGTCACTGAGAATCGTCTGGTGTGTGTGTGTGTGTGTGTGTGTGTGTGTGTGTGTGAGAAACCCGGAAGTGTCAGAAGTGAAATGCTCTGTGTGAAGGTAAAGGGGAGACACACAGGAGGTAGAAAACTGACTCTATCACACCATCTACATACTATCCTTCTGTCTGTGGACATTTCCAGTCCCGACCTTTGAATCACAAGCTAAAGGTGAAGTCATAAGCACCGGGAAGTTTACCACAACACATGCACCAACAAATACCAATGTTTGCACGTAGGCAGATCCTTGTTTGCTCAGAATCTGCGCTTCCCTATGAACATGCAAAGGCTGTTTGTTTGCGGTTTGGGCTCTGCTCCCTGGGAACTGACTGCTTGCCTCCGAGAAATACGGAGTGACTTGCACTAACTCCTCACTTGCTTCTCTTTTGACCCAGGGTCAACAAAATGTCACCTGGTCTCCTCGGCACACAACCCTAACTTCCAGGTCAATAGGCTCTCTGGAGTCTGCATCCACGGCGCACCTGGAGTCCGGTGAGGTGGCTTCCGGAGTCTCCACTGACACCCCGTGGGGCCTGCACAGCACCCAGTTGGGCGTGCTGTGCCATCACGGAGGATGCTCCGCATGCACGGAGAGCTGACCGATGGCCCATCTTCCTGCAGCAACACCACGGAGAAGGCGGCGTGCAGAGCTCAGAAACAGGTGTCGGTGGAGTCGGCACGGGGCAGTAGCATCAAGCAGCTGCCAGGGGAGAGGGAATGCCGTCTGCGGGGCTCCGGAGAGCGCTCCAGGTTAACCCAGCGGATGAAAGGAGCCAGGGGTCCAGCTCTTCTCCTACACATTTGTCAAGACTCATTCCGGCGCTGCCCCCTCTCTCAGGGTCACTCGCTTGTGATGTCTTTCTGCCGTCTGTTCCGGTCAGGGCTCTCCGGGGAAACACAGGGCAGGCCCCGGAGAGCGTGCTTCCTCCCACTCCCTCTGTCCGCCCCGTCCTGGAGGACACAGCCAGAAGGCAGGAGGCCTCCCCAGGGCCCTCGCTCTCGGACTTCCCGGCCCTCAGAAGCGTGAGGAATGTGCGCCTGTGGTTTAAGCCGCCGGTGTGTGGTGATTTTGTGACACTAGGTCCTAGCACACTAAGGCCCACAGGGAGCAGCCCCAGAGCCAGCGGGCGGTCTTCACGGTCTTCACGCGGGCGGGAACGCGGCGCCTCCCGCTCTCCCCTCCCGTCAGGGCCGCAGGAGTTACCTGGGGGCAGGCTCAGGCCCGGGCTCGCCAACGGCAGCCTGAAGAGGAGCTGGCACGGCGGGGCCCCTGCGCCGTCTCCTGAGGAGGCCATCGGTCCCCGCCGTTACCGCGCGGGGCCTGTGGCCCACAGACAATTCGAACCGCTTCCCTGGAGGTCCCTGGGCGACGCCGACCTCCCTGTGCCCCCATGAGGAGGGCCCGTTTTCCAAGATCAGGGCTCTCGGCGGGGAGCGGGGTCTCTGCCCCACTCAGAGAATAAAGCGTTTCCGCTTGGCGCGTGGGAGATGCGGTGATGAGGACGGACAGCCTGGCGCGAGCAGGGAAGAGAAAGAGGATGCAACGTCGCGGCTCTGACGGGGCTGGGGACGCTGTCGCTGGTGGCCACAGCCCCGACGAGTCCCGAGACGCTGCCGGGTCCACGCGGCGGGGGAAGGCAGGGCCCCACTCCAGGCTCCACAGCGGGAGGCGGGGTGCACACCCCACTGGGCCTGCAGGGCACGCGGGCGGCCAGGCCCTCGCCAGCTGGAGGCCGCCCCACGTCCGTGGCCCCAGGAGCAGCCCTGGCCCTGCGGGACGCGCCCGGGAGAGCGGGGCCGCCAGCCCGGAACCACTGCCCTGTCTGTGGATGGCTCTCGGCGCCCTCGGCCTTGGGTTCTCAGAATCACGTCCTCACTGTAAGGACAGCGAGGAAAACTGTAGTCCTCGCTCCACATCGTCCGTAACCATTCCAGACCATTCTCTGGCAGGTGCCCAGGGCCTCAGAGGATGCCCGCCCCAACCCCGGGGTGGCCTGCACAATCTGAGAAGGCGGAGGGGACAGAAACTGGCGTTGCCATGACCGCTCCCAGGGTAACGTGGACAAGGATTATTCGGCCCCGTGGGGTCGTCTCAGGAAGCTAAACCCACTAGGGGAGAGCTGGACGGTCAGGTCTAGGTTCCCGGGCCCCCGCTCTGGTCCTTGCGAGAGGCTGATGAGCTCCTCTGGCCGCCACACCCCACACCTCACCCCAGGATGCCGCCCCGCACCCCTCCAACGCCGGGGACTCACTGCACCGTTCCTCTCCCCTTTCAGAAGAATCACAAAGAAAAAGATTACAGAACTCCTCAAAACACAAAAGCTAGCGTCGTCTGGTAGGCTCAGTACTGGACCAGTGATCTGGGCAGTGTCTTTGGGTTTTGTCTGAATTTTATTCGTGAATTTCTTTAAAAAAAAAAAAGGTGAAGAAGAGGGGCACCTGGGTGCCTCGGTAGTTGAGCATCTGCCTTTGGCTCAGGGCATGACCCTGGGGTCCCAGGATCAAGTCCCGCATCGGGCTCCCTGCATGGAGACTGCTTCTCCCTCTGCCTGTGTCTCTGCCTCTCTCTCTCTCTCTCTGGGTGTCTCTCATGAATAAATAAAATCTTTAAAAAACTAAAAAAATATAAATTTTCAAAAAGGCAAACAAGTTTATAAATTCAGATTTGTATTATGGTAATAACAAAATAGGATAAAGGGGGGCACCTGGGTGGCTCAGTCCATCGAGCGTCCAATGTTTGATTGCGGGTCAGGTCATGATCTCGGGGTGGTGAGATCAAGCCCCACATAGGGCTTCATGCTGGATGTGGAGCCTGCTTAAGATTCTCTGTCTCCGTCTCCCTCTGCCTTCCCCCTGACTCCCAGGCACTCGTGTTCTCTCTCTCAAAAAAAAAAAAAAGGTCAAAATGCAATTAAAAGGGAAAGCACAGGCTACGGACTGTGTGATTCCAACTGGGTGACGTTCTAGAGTAGGAAGAGGTGTGGAGACAATAGGAGATCGCAGCTGCCGGGGTCAGTGGGGAGGGCGGGTAGGGATGAACAGGTGCAGCATGAAGGGTGTTCGGGGCAGTGAAACTCTTCTGCAGGACGCTGTGATGAGGCATACAAGTGATCCCATTTGTCTAAACCCACAGAACGTACGTCAAGCGAACCCAAGTGCACGCTGTTGGGACTCTGGGTGACGCCGATGTGTCAGTGCAGGTGCATGAGTTGTAACACGTGGACCCTCTGGCAGGGAGGCTGCATAGATGCGGGGGCAGGAGGCAAATGGACAATCTCTGTACCTTCCCCCTCCATATTACTGCAATCCTAAAAGCGCTCTAAAAGATAAAAGTCTATTAATAAAAATAAAAGTAAAAAGCGGGACAAGTAAAGTAAAAAAGCAGGATTGAGTCACGTGAGGAAGGGTGTCTGACTCTGAGCTTCCTGGCAGCCGAGATGAAGAGCACAACAGGCAACGGGTCCCAGAGGCCGCGGGTTCCCTCAGGTGCTCCCCTGAATCCCACAGGACAGAGGCAAGTGTGGCGAGTAGTCCTGGCGGCTTTTCAGAGACCAGCACAACACTCTGGCCTCGGGATGTTTTCACTCCCCTGGGAGGGTGCTGGGTCACGACCTGTGCTCCCTGGCCCTCGGTGCCCTGTCCTGCAGGCCTAGGGGATGGACGGCCCCAGCTAAGGCCAGTGTTGGAGAAGCCCCGTCCACAGGGGCCCTGGTGCAGGGCTCTGAACACACCTGGCTCCCTGGAGGCCCAACCCCCCCCCCCATCAGTTCACGAGCACGAGAACCGCTCCCGTGGGCTTTGCCTGGGCTGAGACAAGCCACTGTAAAATTCAAATTTCCGTGTGACTTTGTGGGACTTGGCAGGCTGTACAGCAAAGAGTGTTACTTTCTAAAAAGAAGAGGAAACTCAGTGTGGTGGGGATGGTGACGGGGAGTCCGGGGTGCTGGCAGGGAACGTGGGGTGAGGGTCGTCATCCCGGGGGTGGGATGCCTGTGCCGGGATCTCGGGGATGAGGGGGACAGCCAGGGACCGGGCGGGAGGCTCCCACGCGGAAGGGAAGGTGACCGAGGGGTGGCCGGGCCGGAGACAGACGGCCCACGGAAGGCCCTGGAGGAACCGAGGAAGGCGAGGGGGGGCCGGGCTGTGAGCAAGCAGACCGGACTGGACGGCAAAGGGCAGCGCTGGCCCCAAGTACGCAAAGGAACGCGGGCTCGTCCGAGATGCTGCTCGCAGAGGACCGCGGCACGGCGGCTCCGGAGGGGCGACACGCTCCCGACACTTGCGCAAATCCAGAAGGACACACGGGCGAGCGACCCGGGCCCAAGGAGCCAGGACGGGAACAGGCCAGGGCTCGTGCCGCCCCTGCAGGGCTGCCTCACCGCGACCCTCACGACACGGCGCAGCCTCCTCTGGAAACCGAGGTCCCCGGGAGGCCCGGTCCTCGATCTTCACTCAAAGCTGGGGGTTTGTCAGTTGGACTCTTCTTCCCGCAAAGGGGGCAACGGGCGAGCTGCTTCCTGCCTCGCTCTCCTGAGGAAGAGGACGGAAGCTCCTCCCGCTCCCGGTCCATACTCTTGCCGCCTGCAGAGACGGGGAGCCACTGGGCCTCCCTGCTCCGAGGCCGCCTGGCGGGCGGGGGGGCGGGTAAAGGAGGCCACAGACAGACAGCAGGGGTGCTTTGGGCAGATCTGGAGTTTATTTGCTGCAGTTCCTTGGCGCTAGTTTACAATGCAAAAAAAAAAAAAAACAAACGAACAAAAAAACAATTGGAATAATTATAATTTTTTTAAAACCCTGTCAACAACTTTCAGTCATTTCTTTATATTTTATATTTTGACAAAACTTTTTTTAAACAAATACAAAATAATCTAAAAGGAGAAAAACTATACATGGATTATTTACAGCTCTGATAAATAGACTAATACTGATCCAGGTGCCTCCGTGTAGTATCGGCGAGAGCTGGCGCGGGGGACGCGGCTGGCGGGGGGGGGGCCGGGGCCCGGCCCTCCTCCCGACCCCTTCGTGAGCTGGGGCTCCGGCAGGAACACGCCCGTGGCCGCTCCAGGTAGGACCTTGTGTGAAGGGGGCCCCGGAGAGCACCCTGGCCGGCACCCCGTCACGCCCTTTCACTTAAGTCCTCTGCAGAGAGCCAGGCGGCCCTGGGGGTGGCGGAGGGGCCGGGGTCACGGTGCCCGAGAGGACCGGCCACCCTTCGCCTTCGCAGGCCCCACCTGGCCCCGGGCGGCACGGGGGCGCCGGGATGGCCCGGGCCGGACCCCTCTGCCCGCACCGGCGCGCGGCCTGGACGGTGGCAGGAGCGGCCCCGAGAGTCCCTGAGAGAACGGCAGGAGGACGCCGCGTGTCGTGGCTCCCTTCACACCGCAAGGTAGGAGGCGTGAGGCCAGCCCGCACACAGGCCTTGGCGGGAGGGAAGGACACGAGGCGGCCGTGCCCCCCTGGGCAGCGGCGGCCCCTTCCCGTCTGGCCCCCGCCCCAGCGCGCCCACAGCGGTCCAGGTCAGGGCCAGTTTTGAGGCAGAAAAAGCTGAAGACCTAAGGTGATAAGACCTGCTCCTTCCTCTAAAACGAGGACTGTAGCTCTGGGGGAGGAGGAGGAACCGAGCAGGAAACCGTCCCGAGCCTCGGCCGGGCCTGCCTGCCTCACAGTTTTGGTTACTGGGTTTTTAAGCTCAAGGGAAAATGCTGACTTTGCGTCTTAAAGCCCAACAAGAAGGAACTCGGAAAGAGAAAAGACAGTGCGAGTGTCCAGCGGTTCTCCTCGGCCTCGGCGCCCCCAGCGCAGGGAGCGGAGAGCCGGAGCGGCCTGCCCGCCTGTGCCCGCCCGTGCCCACGCCTCTCCCGCGGCCCGGCCGGCCCTCCAGCTGCTGGGAAGCCGGCTCCCGCCAGCGGCCCGGGGCGGGGGGGGGGACCCCAGCGGCTGCCCAGGGAGCCCCCACCCCGGACCAGGCAGGATGCCTCCGAACGGCTCTACTTTATCTTTTTCTCTCTTTAAAAAACAAAAATATATCTTTATAGTACGTGGCTTCTCTTCCATTCCACTTCTTTCTTAACATAGAGTAATAATATATCGATACGTGTATTTATGGTGCAGGGTTGAAGGCTTCTTCACAGGGAAATAACCAAGAGGTAAACAGTCGGCTTCGGGCTCTGCTATCAGACCTGCTGAGCGAGAGACTTGCAGGAAGGAGGCTGATGTGCTGACAGGGGCTCTGATCTTTTTAGAGAGAGGCTCGCCTGACGGGCGTCAGATCCCTCTCCCCGGCGCTAACTGCCTACCCTTCTCCCACTTAAAATGAATAGCAAAGCTGAAGCCAGTCTCTAGGAATTCAGGGTGACGCCCAGCAGGTGACACCCCTGCTCGGCAGCCCACCCCCCCGTCCGTGGGGGGGACGGGGAAGGAACCCAGGGCCTCTCACGCCTTGCACGCTGGCACCGCTCGCTGTGCAGACTCAGTGTCTTTTCGTGGAGGAGACCTTCTTCTTCCGCGCCGCTAGCATCTCGTAGAAAGGGTCCCTGCTGATGGCTGCTCTGGACACAGAGGAGAGAACAAACAGGTTGAGGAACAGGCCCGGAGGGCTTGCACCCCCCCCCCCCTCGACTGTCACTGCAAAGGCCAAGTCAGCGCCGCCAACCGTCACCGTGTCCTCACAATGACTTAAGGGACAAGCTCTGGAAGAGACACATGGTCCGTGTGCCAAGACAGTTCTGCACTGTTTACTGCCTGTTTCTACCTAACCACGGGGCGGGTTTACGAACAGAGTGTTACAGACTCTAGTATTCCGGGCCAGAAAGGCAAACGTGGGACCTCAGTTCTACGGGACTGCGAGCGCCACACGATCTGTGGCCCGTGGCAGTCTGGCGCGTGCTGCTCAATGGCCGCCCCACTCTGGACCACGCAGCTTCTGAGTCCCGCACACACCGACCGACTCGATCACCAAGACCACAAGGTGGGCAGTCCGCAGTGTCACGGGGCCCTTAGGGGGCGGCCGGCCAGGCCCGGCGGGGAGGGAGCCTGCGTGTGCCCAGGCACTGCCCCAGAGAACCCAGCGCAGGACGGTGACAGCAAGGCCACCCCGGTGCACTCGTCAATCCCAACTGTCCAGCACATTGAGCCGCGGGCGCTCAAGGGCTTTTCCAGAGCTGCTACACTCTTAAGTGCCCACGAGTCTCCACGCTTGCCCACGAGCCCAGCTGCCCACTGGCTCTGCACCCGACCAGGTAGATGACAGGGGTCTGTTCACCAGAGATGACGCGTCCCCAAGTGCATCTGCACAGCTCCTTGGGGCAGCAAAAATCAGCAGTCCCTGGCATGTGTCCCAAGGGGACCTTGTCACAAAGGCCTCAGTTGAAGTGTCAAGAGCCAAGGGCGCCGAAGCCGAGGGCTGCCTGGCGGTCAGGAGTGCAGCTTCTTGAGTCACAGGCTCAGGTCTGAAGACCAGCACCATCTCTGTGGCTCTGGACAATTTTATTCACTGTGTTGTGCCTCGTGTCCTCACCTGTAAAATGGGGACAACCGTGCTTCCCTGGCTGCGGCGAAGAGTGAGGAGACGGTACCCGGAGGGCATGTGCACGGTGTGCGAATCCTGCACCACCAGCCAGGTGGTGCTGGGGCCCAGCCAGGAACTGAGCTTCCCAGGGACGGCCTGTGTGTGCCCTCCCACCCTCACTAAAGGACTGAACGATTCCAAACGTGTCTATAAAGAGGGCTCAGCGTTTCTGGCTGTAGGAGTACAGGCCACGGAACAGAGTAGGAGCGGCTGTGCACTGCCAGCGGGCTGCTCCAGTGATCACACGACGGGGCACACGGGGCACAGAGGGTAACCCATGCACACGCAAGCGCTTGGGACAACTGCAGAGCGTGCTTCAGGTTGGTCAAGCAGGTATCGGGGCAACAGTTACTCGCCGACGAAGTTACATCCTTTACTTCAAACCATATACTAGGCATAAATTTTGTAAGGGCTAAAGATTTAAACATTTTTTAAAAAGCACACGGTAAAAACAGCACAGGATACGTGGATGAGGATCACTCGCTGGCCGGGATGCCCAGCACAGCCCAGACCTCCGTGGGGGGCTTTTTTCAGTTTATATTTAAATTCCAGTGAGTTACCACGTGCTGTCATGTTACTTTCCGTGTATGACAGAGCGAGTCAGCACTTCCACGCGTCACCTGGGGCCCGCCACATGGGGGGTGCTTTGGGGTCTCATTTACTGGTACAGACTCCAGGGAGCCTCGCCCACTGGATGGAGGAGAGGAGCCACCAGGGTCACCACATGACCAGTCCCACCCCAAAACGTCCCGGGAGTCCTCCCCATCACACCGGAGGGGCAAGAGGCGTGCCAGTCACCAGGGAGCCCACCATTCACACCCGTGCTCAGGAGGCCGAGGGCTGGCAGGAGGGCAGGCGGCGTGCCCGAGTCAGAGGGAACTCGGCAGAGGGTGGCCTGACGCCAACCCCACATGCTCCGGCCCAGCCCATCTCTTCCACCGTAGGACTTCCGGGTGGGCTCCGGTGGAGTCCATCGTGGGTCTGTCTCGGGTCATCTGTTTGCTGTTTAACCCCGGCCAGATCCTGCACCAGCTTCAGCAGCGATACCAAAACACCCCATACCAGCGCACTCCCCCTCGGGAGCAGGCTGTGGCCAGGACAGGAGAGCGCCCATCACAGCGGCAATGTAGGGCCGCAGGGCCTCAGATTACCCGGTCAGGGCGGCCTCCCCGGCCTCCGGGGAACTCACGAGGCCCAGGAATGGGTCGACTGAGGGAACAGCTGGTAACGTCTGATGGGGAGAACCAGGACCCACCCTCAGGACACGCTGCCACCAAGACAAGCAGCCATGCCACACCAGTGGGGCGAGACGGCCATCTGGACAGGCTTCTTGGAAGTCCTGGGGGGAATGGGGGCAGCCCTAACCCGCATTCCACCTCGCACTGTGCAGCTAGCTCAGCAGGAGCCAAGCCCTGGGTCTGCCACTCTGTCCACACCCAGGTAAGCCTGAGAACCCTTCCCCCTGGTTCAGAGCCTCCGCCTCCCCGCAGCACAGGGGTGAATGGTGCGGGCCTAGCCTGTGACCCTGAAGCACGGCCACACGCCTGCAGGCGTGGGACACCTATAAGTGGGACACCTATAAGTGGGACAAGTCTCCCTGGAAATGATAAAACATTACAATTGCTATCTCCACTGCGCTGCCATCCTGACCACGAGGCCGAGGAGCCCTCTGGGAAGCCTAGACTCGAGCTGCTGTCTTGGCCAAGCACCCAAGGACCCACTGACAAACAGTCTGGGACTCCAGTCAGACTCTCCCCTGAAGATCTAACCCAGGAGCCCAGGCGAGGGGCGGGCGGCACGCTGGGCACGCTGGGCAGCAGACGTGTGCGAGGAGAGAGCCCTCGTCCGGTGAAAGCACCGCGACGCCTCAGATCACCTACTTGATGCACTTAATCCACTCCTCCTTCTCTTCGGGCGTCGGGGCCGAGATCCGGTACACGGTGTGGTTTCCTTCCACCACCCGCCCGTCAGCCTCCGTCTTGCAGGCCTTGATGACTTGGTCTTTGTTGTCAGGGATGTAAAGCTCAAAGCAGTTCTGAGAATCAGAAAAGAGAGGGAGACAAAGACCTGAGAAAGCTACTGATCAAGACCAAAAAATGTTTATTTCTCAAAGGACCCTTCGTTCTGACTCCCACGAAACACAGGCAACGTGTGCTTTCCTACGGCGAAGAGGAGCCCGGCAGTGAACGCCGGAGAATGTCGGCTGCCCGCCCGTCAGCCCGGCTAGCGAAGACACCAGCACACACGTCCGCTGTGCTCCCAACAGACCAGCAACGCGGCGAACAGCGGTAGGTACGCAGGTGCCTTCGAGAGCCCGGCCCGCAGCGCCGGCACATTCCAGGTACCGGGGGCGTCGGGAAGGCGCCTGAAGGTCCTGACACGGGCAGCCCGGTTGTGGGCGCTTCCTGCCGCCTTTTAAGGAAGGACAATCCCACCGCTCGTGGACAGGCCACAGGGACGCAGAGGCAGGGGAGGGGGGCAGAGGTCAGCCACAGCCTCGTCTCCGGCCCGAACGTGAAGGTGACTTTGAGTTGGGCTGAATCAGAGGCACGACACTCCTTTTCAGTTTTAGGTAAATCTTTGCACTTTCAGCCTTGTTCTAAGAACTGCTACCTTCTCTTTTGGGCCCCCCACCCCTACCCCGTCCCCCAGGAGATACTCACTGGTTTTTTGGAGTCCTCCACCTCCCGGATACTCAGATTCTCTAAAGGGATAATTCCACGGGGCTCCTTATCCTGTGGAACAGTGGCAGACACAGAGACCTCACGCTGGGTCATGAGCTCGCGTCCCCCCACGTCCCTCACTCAAGTTGCCGGGGCTCTGCTCTTCTCCCATAACCTCGGGCTCACAAATCAGCTCTGGGGCCCACACCCTACGTTCTAAAATCAGGAAGGGGCCAGGAAGCATGTATAGGAGTCCCTGTGGCCGGCGGCCTCTGTGGGGCGAGTGCCCAGGGGAGGCTCAGCACGTGTCCGGAAGAGCCCACGGGAGGCCCTCCAGCAGGGAGCACGCCAGCCTCTCACAGAAACCACGTGGCTCCTCCGCCCGGCTCCTGCACACACGCCTTCAGCCTCTGTTCTAGTGTCGGCAACCCCAGAAAGCCCTGGTCTTGCTCTAGGTGCCCGGCTCGCTGCCTCGAACGCCGGGGAGAGTTTAGTGCGTTTATGTACACTCATGACCCCCTGCCCTAGCTTTCCCCTCGCCAGACTGTAGGACCTTCAAAGAGAAACTGCCTCCCTGATGACTCCAGGTAGGTCTGCAAAGGCACCTCCAGGCCTGTCCAGAGCAGAGCCAGGACACCCCTGCCAGGCCCTGCCCCCGGGGGCCCTCTCAACAAAGGCCACTAGGCACATGCACTCCGCACCCGCCGGACGGCTAACGATGCCAACCTTCGCACTCCCTCTCCTGGGCATCCGGCCACCCCGCAGCCATGACTTCACTCCAAGTTCACCACGGCAGCTGGGCTAAGCCTTGGCACCAAGCTCCCTACGACAAATGCTCCTGACACACTGTGCACTCCCCATTTGCAGATTCAGGTTCCTTTCCCTTTTGGGGGGATAATCTTGGAACAGATGGGATCTGTGTACGTGCGGGTGCCGACGCTCCAGCATTGGGGTCACCTTTCCTGTCCTCCGTAACTGCTTACCTCTTCCCTGTCTTCACACTCGTCTTTTCCAGACACAATCTGTGACTGTCTCCAATCTTTCTTCTGTAATGGCGATCTTATTCTCGGCTAGTCTGTTCCACTCCTTATAGTTTTTACTTCTTATTACCTAACTTCTAGATCTGTGATTACACAGATCACCTGTTCTTCAACCTGCACCTTGCGGGGGTGGGGGGTGGCCAGCTTGTGTTCTGGCCCCTTCCACAGTCTCACGACAGAGCCGTGAGCAGAGGGCAGGCCCATCTGACACCCGCCACGCTCCAGCTCTTCTCTGGGACCGCCGCTGTCCTGCTTGGGGGCGGCGACGCTGCTCACGGGCACACTCCCTGTGACAGAGCTCCCACTGAGCTCCCAGCCCAGGGCCCACACCAACGTTGCAGGAAGTGAGGCCCATCTTCTCACTTTCCTATTTCACCAATTCCTACCCAGCTGCAGACTTTATTGCTCGCTGATCAGAAGAGGGAAGAAGCCCTACTGTTTGCTTCTCCTGGACTCAGGGCAAGGGGGAGGCAGCAGGGCTGTGTGGGGAAAGGTCCCTCCGCCCAGCCCCCAGGCCACTGTCTCTGCCCCTGCTCTTGGTCCCTGAGCTGTACTGAAGCAGCTGTCACTCGTTCCCCTAGATTCCCTGCACCATGTTGGGTGATTCTGTGTGGACGTTCTCCCTACCACCTTAACTATGAGGCCCCCCACCCCCGTGTCTGCAGAAACACACTCCCTGACGTCCTGTGGCCCCGTGCAACGCCAGCACGCTGCTGGATGGAGTGTGGGATCAGGCGATGCCACCACAGATGGCATCATGAGGAGCCACAGCATCCTGCAATCTCGCGGAGCCCACTCCCGAACCCAGGGCATACTGCTTACATGTCTGTGTATGTTTCATTTTAACCCAAAGAGTAGTGGGGAAAACCCAAACAAGACTTTAAAGATACCACTAGTCTAGGTATCTTCGAGAAAAAAGGCCAGCTCTGGGCCGGGCCGGGAGGTGTTGGGGGGGAGGGCAGAAAGGAATGTTCTGAGCTGTTCGCAGCGGTGCTCTGGGGGCGGGAACAACAGGAAACTAACTGGATGTCCCAACGTGCGGCCCTTGGGGGTGAGTGATGCCGCATCACAGGCTGATGCCCACTCCCCACGGAGCGTCACAGAGGACAGCCACCTCACCAGGCAGGTGCCAGGGTCCTGGCTCCTACTGAGGCTACATCCCTGACTTTCCTTCTTCACTGTCTTGGCAGGATCCGTGACCTTTACTCAGTGAAGACCTGGTTGTAGAACCAGCACCAACTGCCCTGATTAATCTCAAGTCCCACACTGCCAAGAACGGAGGCGTGAGAAGGGATCAAGAGACAGGTGGGCAGCCAGTCTGAGCCCGGCCAGCCAGGCTTTCTGGGCGCCACAGCAGAGGGAGCTTTGAAAAAGGTTTTATTTTCTCATTTTTATTCTCACAGGTTCTTATGAAAGAGACTTGCGTGTAACACAAAGCTGTGCTGTGATTCTGTTCCCGCTGAAAACCAACAGAACCTCCACGGTTTGAGAAAACTTCAAACTCCAGTAACTCCCAACTTCCCTCATTTCATTTTACTTCTCTTCTATTCTTTCAACCCCCGGGGCTGCTTCTCCTGCATCCAGAAAATCGGAATTCTCCACATTGTGATTTTCATGCACCTTTCAAGGGCCATAAACCCTTTCTTGGCAACTGACCTAGGCTGGCTGTTCCCAGCCCGGCTCTAAACCCCGCCTCTAACGCCCTGTGCCATGCAGGGCTTCCACCTCCGCCCACGTCACCTGCAGGGCCCCCCCCGATTCTGGGACCTCCCCGCCCGACTGGAGTCAGACAGAAACAGAGGCCTGGCCCACCCCTAGTCCCGCAGCAGACCCAGAGGCTCACCGTCGTATATTCAAAGTAGTAAAGGCAGTTGTCAGTGAGAATAAACCAGCGTCTTTTCCAAGTCTTGACCCTGCCACCTACGGAGCAAAAGGAGATGCGGGTCCGACAGGAGCCAAGCAGACCGGAGCAGGCTCCGTAACATGACCCCCCACCCTCAAAGAGCTCGAGGGCGGGGGAAGCGAGGGGCAGGGGTACCAGAACATTGAGACCATGGCAAAGTTTACATCAGTAACAAGACACAGAGCCAAAACAGAAGCACCTTTCACAGAGTGAAAGTCTGTGGGTACAAGCAGAGCAAGCAAGTCAGGTGGCACCTGGAGATGAACTCAGGAGAGTGGGATGAGAGCATGGCTGGGGAGGGAACCCGGGCGATGAGGACACGCGATGTAAATCTGACTGGGCTGGAGATGTGCCCCTGGAAGCCCGTCGGTGTGGTGGAAGTGGGCCGACAGAAGAAAGGGGGGAGAGGGGCCCGGGCCCGGCTACACTGCTGGGGCACCCTGCCCGGGTACAGAAGGAGGGCTTCATCAGAGGGGGCAGGAGTGAGGAAAGGGGAACTACGATGTGTCAACCCTTCACAATCACATCTACGGCTTTCCTGGGGAGTGGAACCCAAATTCCTACCCCAACCTTCCTGATTATAGTGAAACTCTATACTGGCTTTCAGGCCCCGGGCCGGTGTCCTGCAAATGAAATTTCCCCAGAGTCTTGAGTGAGACAAGGGGGAGTCCCTGCACCAGGAGGAGCCCACCGGTGCACAGAGGCAGTGCTCGGGAGCCTTTCCAAGCCTGGACTCCTCACGTGGAGCTCTGAACACAATGAGCGAGAGGAGGGGCCGCAGACCAGAGGGACGGTGGTGGCCGTGAGTGCCGAAGGGGCCCCTCCATCATCCTCAGCGTCTCAGTGGGAGGACCACGCTGGGGCCGTGAAACTCTGCTCAGGACAGCACTGGGGAGGGCGGCTCAGCTGCGGGCTGTCTTAGTGAGGCTGCATCCCGCACCCTCCACGGCCCTGAGCTGGACCTGGTCCTGCTCTGCTTACGCCGGGGCAAGGGGCAGCTTCCTGAACCATGCAAAGGCCTCCCCGTGTTATGATACGCATGCCATTCTGTCCGCACTTCTTTCTGCCCTGACAGTTTATGCTCTTCTGCCTAAAATGTAACCTCCAGAGGATATCACTTCTCTCACCTTCCCAAAAGACAAGGCCCGCGGGGTGCAAAGCTGGTATGACCCGAGTCATGCTTCCTCTCTTGTCCCTCACCACAGGGAGCTGAGCCAAGGGCAGGGTGCTTTTCAAGGGTGTGCTGCTAGGGGCTGGGCCGGGCCGGGCCGTGCCCACATGCTCACACCGGGTTTCCTGATAGGACGTTACGGAGATGGCGGGGTGTAAAGTCTCGGGGAGGTTAAGTGATTGATCATGAATTGCCACGGTTCTAAACAGACCCAGGTTGTGGAGGGCTTTGCTATCAGCACACGCACAGTGTCCACCTGCCGGGGGGCCCTATGCTAGCATCAAGCCAGGACTGGCCCTCTAGCAGCAATTTGCCAGTTTATGGGAGCATGTGCCTCTGGTCCCTAAGGCCCTAGGGCATGAATCAAGAAAAAAAACCACAGATGGAAATATGACATGCATGTGGAAAACGGGAAAGGCTGGGCAGGATCAAAACAAACGAGGGAAAGAAAGAAGACAAGGAATATATTTAGAACTGGAGCCAATATGTTATAAAAAGGCACCCCCGCCCCCACTTCAGAGGCTGGGAAACCGGCTCTTCTACCTCTTGGGCCTTCATCTCCACACAGGGCTCGGTACACAGGACACCTCAACCCATGCTGACTCCCATGCGCTCCCCCCACAGGACCACCCAGGGGCCCTCGGGGCTTAGGAGGTCATGGAGGAGGGGTCAGATGCGAAAAGGAAGAAGGTGGAAGGAAATCTAGAAGGAAAAGCGAAGCTGGAAAGATCCCCTCCCTGATTACAGAACCTTGATGATTTCCCCTGACGACCTGCTGCGTCACAGAGACCTCTGCCGTGAGGGGCATCACGGCGGTCCCGGGGCAGGATTTCCATGTTGAAAGAAACAGACATGAAACAAGCAGACAGACCAATGCGCGCACCTAGGACAGTCCCTGTGGAACTCACAGGACACCTCCCACCCCCGGTGCAAAGGCCAGGCGCCGTCTTCCCTAGCGCTGACGGGTGCCCAGAACGTGCTAACGACTGTGTTGAGCGTTGGGGCTGTTCTCTCTGGTGCTGGAGCACACACCTGAGGAGCTGCTCCTCTAGGAAAAACCTAACCCCCAAATCAGCAAGTGGAGGGAGGTCCCAACGGCATAACTAAGAGGCCAATTTGGGGTTTTTAACAGTATTCATTGAAAAAGAGGAGGGAGAAAAACAAAACAGAACATGAAATACGGAGTCGAGGTCATACGCCCTCCTCTAATACCCAGGACTTCCGGGGAGAGAGGGGGCTCTGGGTGTCTTTTTTTTTTCCCCCCAAACTTGGCATCCTTTGAGTTTAGGAGATGCCATTTCCCTGTTTCATGCATAGGCAAATGTCCCAAGCTGTCTCATTTACTTCTCGTCCTGGCGTGCTCTCTGATCAGAGTGTATCAGGAGCATGTGTCGCTGAGAAGTCAAACCTCCCTTCTCCTCCTCCTCCTCTGGAGAAATTACTGGAATTCACAGGTGTCAATTTGAATGTAACACAGATAGACTATGCCTGGCCAATCATTCCAAGAGAAAATTCAGTGAGTACTTTCTCTGCTTTTCTAAACCCACTCTTAGTATGTTTTCTCACATCACGGCAGTCAGTAATGTTTATCCCACGGCCTGGTACCTTGCTGTCTGATGCACTGTGTACTAGCCCTGAAAGGGAAACCATGAACCCCTGATCCTGACCAGTTCCCTAGGGACTGTACAGTAAGTTAGAAGCAGCATTAACACTACCACCAGCAATTAAAAAACAAAATAACCAAAAATAACAAAATAAGAAAAACGCTGCAGCAAGTACAGTGGCCTTGGCAGAGCGAGCGAGCAGGTTGGGGGGATTACATACCTCCTGGAGTTTGGGGCAAGGAAAAGGAGAGCCAAAATCATGGAAACATACAAATGAGGGAGAAAAGAAAATTAAAACAAAGAAATTAAACCAAACTCCTTAATCTCAAAGTGCACTGTATTAGTCATTCACATCTGTCCTGGGGGAGCCAAACATGAAATCACTAGCGGGGCGAATGCCACTGTCTGGCGTGTGAATGGGGGAGCTTGTTTCATCCGCCACGCACCACCTGGCGAAGGCGGGATCTGCAGCACTACCGAAAACCTGGCCCCAAATATGCCGCAGATCCATTCTCACAAAGTGAATGTTTATTAGTACATCCAGAATCCGGAGCTAAGAGGGGAAAATTTAGTGTCTCTCTGCAGATGGCTATCACTTTTTAAGGTGTGTGTAAGAACGCACACACATATCCCCATGAATACATACGTACACATGTGTGCACACAAGAATACACATTCTTACGGCCATATGCATACATGGACATACACACACAACTGCAGATGGCTGGGAGCCCCGCCTTCTGCAGCACGTAAGTACACGGGGGGGGGGGGTGATCCTAAGTGGCTACAATGAAAACACAATATGAAGACTTAGGGCTTTGGAGGAGCTTTAGAAAAGGTAATGCAATGACCTCAAAACAAATCCCACATTTTGTTAATTTTTTTTCCTTTTAAAACTATGGGATGCCTCATGAATTTACATGTCATCCTGGTACAAGAGCCAAGATAATCTCTGCACTGTTCTAATTTTAGCATCTGGGCTGTCAAAGCTAACACTCAGCATTAGCATTTAAACAAATTTCACTGGAGGGGAAGTAAATCCAAACTTGGATGTACTTTTTAGATTTCCAGTGGGTTTCCTTTTAGCTCGGTCCACTTGGCAGGAAAGGCATGGAGCAGGACGGCTGTCTCTGGGGTTGGCCATTTTAGAACCTTCGCTTCAAAGATTCTACTGGCTTAGAGACGTGAGAAATGTCGGCCAACTCAAGAGATGGCCAAAACCCCGATTGGAGAAGTGGTGCTTTCAGGAGAGTTTATGAAATAATTATATAGAAACCCAAGGTCTTGGGCTATGCTCTTTAAAGGAATTATAAATCCTACTGCTACCTGAACTGGTCAGAAATTTAAGATTCCATTTCAGCACTTCTCAGGGGTGTCAGTCACAGCCAAGAGAGTAACGACTTCTAATTTCACCAGGACTAGTCACTGAAATGGTAGAGGGGGAGCACCTCCTGGTAATTAGGGAACCCACGCATCAAAAGGCCAAGGCAGAAGAAAAGAGGAACGTATTCTTCCCCCAGGGCCAAAAAAGTGCCGATTATGTCCAGGGGCTCTCTGTGTTTTGGGATGATTAATGAAATAATCACATATGGGCACAAACGTTCCTTTTGGTTACTCTATCACCTCCATACAAGGCATGATTACAAATTTCAGCAACATAAGTTCACTTTTGGCCGAGGGAAGAGGAATATATATATATATATACATTTTTTTTTTTTCTGAATGAACAAAATCATCAAAGTGGCTGATTCGGATTGGAAAGGAGGTTGGGGGTGGGGTGGGGAACCACTGCCCGAGAATGAGTAAGAGCGCTGTGGGTCGCATTGCAGCCAAGGGCTCAGGTTTGCCATGCATACTGCCTGTGGGGAGCCAGATGCAGAAGGAAGTGATGATGCACTGGGGTGGGGGGGCGGGAGCGCCAGATATAAATCTGTGTGATGGGAAGTAGAGAGATGGACACGGCTGGCCACCCTCCCAGGGACAAAGAGGGCAGAGAAAGGACCAGGACCAGGTTCTCGGGGAACCACCTTGAAATAAAACCTGGCTAATCAACTGCAGAGTAAAAATGTGGAGTGTGAACCCATGGGAGCAGCGTTTATGCAGAGTGAGTCTGCACCCAGCAGTATCTGTATATGCCGCGGGGCACTAACTGTGGAGGTGGATCTCACCAGAACACTAGCAGTTCATCCCAGAGTCTCTCCATAGTGCCTCCTGTCACCAACCCCACTTTCCCACAGCACATGGATGTGCGAGTGCACGCACGCATCCTTTCTTTCTGTTTCTGCATCAGGAGCCCTGACCAGAGTGCGTTACTTACCGAGTTTCAATAGCCAGCCTTCCCGGTCTGGATTGAAGAAAGTGTGAGTGAGGTCATTCCCATCATCTTCTGGGATTTTAAAGGGTTCGTTTTTTATGCTCTCATACAGATTCTGGGATAAAAGACGACATTGTATGTCTCTGGTTCTAGAAACATCTCTTCTCCCTCCCCTTTCTCTTCATTCATTCAGTAAGCACAGGTTATGTGCCATGATTTGTCAGGCACTGCGAACAGAAGAACAGGACCAGTTCTGCCTTCGGGCAGCTCGCAGAGACAAAATAAGTAAGATGCCTAATGGATAATTAAGAAAGAAAAGAAAGCAGCCTGACTTCCTCTCACACTTTGTTTCAGACTTATAAACCACTTTCCCCTCCTGATTCCCTTGCTGGGCCTCATGACTACTTTCTTCATGGACTTTATATAATTAAAGAAATTTTACGAGCAGACCATGGGTGGGCCATATGTCTCACTCTTGTGCCATGTTCACCACCACCTGGGCTAAAGTGCGCTCACCCGGAGCAGCTCCTCGGGCAGGTCCCCCCCATCATTGATGCCACGATTCATGGCGATGAACCTTTCCACAGTGGGCTTATCCTTGACATTGGGGTTGTGCAGGCTGGTGTTCAACATGATGATGGCAAATGAGAGGACGTAACAAGTGTCTAAAGAGAAAAGCAAAAAGAAGATCAGAAACATCTGGCCAGAAGGACCAAGAAATGTCCCATGAAATCAAACTAAAAGCCATGCTCTCAAAAGGATGAGACAAATCCACGCATCGGGATGCCTTCTAAATGCACACTACTGACTGCTGCTGACTAAAGAGGTCCAGGCACAAATAAGTGCATCAAATATTCAAGACTTAAAGGTGATTATTTTTCAGATTGCAAAAGGAGAACGCAGCAGGCAACCTGGAGAACGACACAATGTGTAAAAAAGAACATACCAAATACCTATGATCCCTCTACCTGCTAATGACTTATTTTGTTTCCTTACACAAATGTGCCTCGTGCAGCACATCACAAATGCATCTCACAGATGCACACTCTGACAAAACTGGAATCAAAGCAGAAACATAGTTTTGATCCTGCTTTTTTGCTAACCTTATCAGCATTTTCCTCATGTCAAATAAAGCCTCCTCTTAAATACAAATTTTTTGTTTTTTAAATTCTTTTACTATTTTTTAAGATTTTATTTATTCATGAGAGACAGAGAGAGAGAGAGAGACAGGCAGAGAGAGAAGCAGGCTCCATGCAGGGAGCCCGACGTGAGACTCGTCCCAGGTCCCCAGGATCAGGCCCTGGGCTGAAGGCAGCGCCAAATAGCTGAGCCACCCGGGCTGCCCGAAATTCTTTTTTAAATTCAAGTATGGTAGACACACAACATGACGTTAGTTTCAGGTGTATACATGTTGCCTCAACCACCTCGTACATTACTCCGTGCTCACCACCATAAATGAGCCCACCACCCATCACCACTCGGCGTTACCACAGTATCACCGACTGTACCTCCTATGCTGTACTTTTCAGAATTCTAGTTGTAAAACGAGTAAGCCAAAGAGATGAAGGACAGGATTTTTAATAGTTGCACATTGCCTAACAGCTACTACAACTTACATTCCCACCCCCTTATTCCTACTCCCTGGACTTCTGGATCATTCCCAACATTTTACTATTATAACTACCATTTAAATCACTGTTCTTGGCATGAACCCAGGCCCTGTTGTTCTGGAAACTATCTAGCGCCGAGAGAGACTTTCGTGGGAAATGCTGGCCATCAGTGGGGCACACGGCCGCCCTACCTGTGGACTGGAACACCCCATTATTACACTGGCAGTAGCGCTGTGCAAATGCCTCCATCATCCGGTCAATCTTCTGGGCCTCTCCCGGTAGCCGGAAGCTCCACAGGAACTGCCTGAGTGGTGAGGACAGGTATGTTACTGCGCTTGGGCTCAGGGACACCACTCACTTCTCCAGGAATGGTTGTTACATTTCCCATGGATTTTAATACGAAAGTGCAAAAGGGGGACCCACTGGCATTGGGCTTCTGCTCCCGCAGCTCTTAGTAGGTGCAAACTACGGTTCTGTATCACTGTTCTCTTAGTCAAAGGTAAAGTGTTTAAGAGAAAGTGAAAAATTAAGGTTTTACTGTATAACAGAATGATTCTCCTCTTCAGATTAATATACAAGGCTGAAATAGAAATAATGTTCACGTTCATGAGCTCTCATCTCTGGAAAATAAGATGAGGTGGTGGAAAAAGAAGATTTTCTATCAAAGCATTCACAATTGATCCCTTTAAGTCAAAGAGGGACCATGGCCAATAGGTCTCATTGTGCATTATTTTCACCTACCCAAATAGCAACACAAAAAAGATGGTGCTGTTGACAGCCCCCAGCAGCCAGGACACTGGAGGACAATGTCTCCAAAGATTTTGTAAAAATGGCGCAGCCCCGGTGGCGCAGCGGTTTAGCGCCGCCTGCAGCTCGGGGCGTGATCCTGGGGACCCTGGATCGAGTCCCACATCAGGCTCTCTGTATGATGCCTGCTTCTCCCTCTGCCTGTGTCTTTGCCTCTCTCTCTCTCTCTATGAATAAATAAATAAAATCTTAAAAAAAAAAGATTTTGTAAAAATGGGGGCACATGGATGGCTCAGTTGGTTGGATCTGACTCTTGGTTTTGGCTCATGTGTCATGAGATCGAGCCCTGCCTATGGCTCCATGCTAAGTGTGGAGTCTGCTTGGGACTCTCATTTCCTCTGCCTCTGCCCCTCACCTGCCTTTGCACGTGTGTGTGCCTGCACTCTCAAATACATAAATCTTAAAAAAAAAAAAAAAAAAGAAAAAAGATTTAGTAAAAAATGTAAATTTACTTTCCTAAAATGAAGTGAACAGCTACTGAATTCCTATTCTAGGGCAGAGGATCAAAGGGTTTTCTACACTGAAAACTAGAAAAAAAATTCCAAATTTAAACATACACCAATTTCCCAATGAAATTTCCTATTAAAAGACATGAGGAAGAGTTTTGTGAAATTTGCCTTCAGGACGGGGGTTGTTATTCAGTTCTCGTTAACCATCCAGTCCTCTCGGCCACAGGCTCTTAGGCCACTTTCCTTCAACATACAACATACTTCAGGATGCTCAACACGGGCCCCCAGAGACATCCCTTCACCAAAACGCCACATAGGACAGACCTGGCACAGAGATGTGCCTCTCCCACCTCCCAGGGCACCATCCCCAAACACACTCACCGTAGTGCCTGGACAAGGTTAAGGTCAGTGAACTCATGTAACTCCACAAATGCATGAAGAACCTGGATATTAAACTCGTCTCTAGCAAGAAAAACAAAAATGGGGGTGGGGGTGGAAGTCAGAAACCGAGCCTGAGAATCCAAGCTTCCAGCCCCAGCCAGGCACTTTCCAAGCCGAGTCCCGTAGCCCCACAGACTCCATACACGGCGAGGTCCCCACCAGGCACCGTTCGCCAGTACAGCCCCCCTCCCTCAGCACCAACTGAGGACAGAACCCAGCTGCCCGAGGACAGCGCTCTCTTTGGGGACTTGGAGCACACTGGAACTGCTGACAACCCGCTCCTTTCTCCTGAGGCCTTACCTCTCCCCCAGGTAGTCACCAATGGCAGTTTTGTTGAGGCCTTCCCCTTTGTACAAGAACTGGGCGATGTCTTCACAGGTGTTCTTCAGCAGGTCATTCTCTATTAAGAATTGGATCCCCTAGAAGAGACATCAAGGTTGCCGATGACACTCACACCCTAGAAACCTCTAGAAAGGAGGGGAAAGGGCAGAGGAAGGACACACAGCAAGTATCTAATAAATACTCGGCAATGGACACGAAGGGTTAGGGGAGTCCCAGCTGAGGAGCCAGGGCAGAGGACGTGACACAGGGACGTGTGCTCCACAGAAGGGCAGGAAGCTGTGACGGGCACTACCGGGCTCCATCTGAGCGTTGCAGACGCCCCATCTTAAAGCCCGAATACTCTGGTTTCTCTTCAGATCGTATAAATCTTTCACCTTATTTAAAGCCCGAGGCCCCCAGTAGCACCCTCTCCACTCACCTTTTTAGGGTCCATGTTAAATTTTTTCCTGCCCATGGCCACCTGTTTGTTCCTCTGCATGTTTTTCCTGTAAAACAACCACCACAGCCATGTTAGTACTCCAGGCAGTCAGGAAGCTGTGAAGGCCTAGCATCATTCCCACTTGCACCCACGGACTTGTAGAGAGTTTTGAAAGTGCTATCAGGAAAGCACAGGTGTACTTAGGTCTAAGTGTGGAAGGTCAGCTGAAAGCCTGATCCCCTCCCCAGGTTTGTTTGTTCCTTTTACTCCATGCTTCTCTTTTAACACGCTTAAAAAAAAAAAAAAAACTTTAAGGTATCACGTACATATCATAACAATATGCCCATCTTAATTGTATGCTTGAACGGTTTTTAGTAAGCTTATGAAGTTATGCAGCTATCACCACAACCAGATGCAGAACGTTTGTCACTCACACAGCAAGGGTGTGCTGTGCTGTGTGAGTGACATGTGAGTGACCGGCCTGTGACCTTGACCAGCCCGCCCCGTGCCCACCGGCTGGCATTCCAGCCGCCTACAGCTAGGGCGGGGAGAAGTGAGAATGCCATAAGCACCACTGCACATTCTTTCCCTGGGCGTGCTTTCATCTCTCCCAAGTGAACACCTGGGCACAGAACTGCTGGCCATGGCACGGGCGCGTGTGTCACATGACAAGAAAGTGCTGCTCCCGAGTGCCGGCACTCACCGACACCAGGGACCGTGGGCCCACTCTCAGTCTGGGCCTTCTTACCACTGAGTCACATGTGTTCTGGATGCAAGTCCTTTTTCAGACACACTATTGCAAATGTTTCTCCTTGTCTGTGGCTTACCTGTTTCTTTTCATAGTATCTTTAAGCACAGAAGCTTTAAAGTTTGATTAAACTCCAATGTATTCACTGTTTTAAAGCCACAATTTTTAAAAATGTAAGGTAAAAAGGCTGTAATCCCAAACTGACAATACGGAGCCCGGCAGTGATGAGCTGGCCATTCTCCGCAGACCGCCTGGCTTCACTAAGCCCTAAAGGCACCGCCCATACCCGCTTAAAATAACAAACTCAAATGGTCTTAGGAAGCCAGACAGGGGACTTAGGCTTACAAAAATACAGACATGTAGTGAGTTAGAAACAGCCCAGTTAGTGCATTAAGTACTTAGAAAACGGTCTGGGAACCCCATTCAAAACTAAACTCTGGAGGTCACTGACACTCATGCCATTAACCTGCAAGCGCTTCTCGCAGTGTTGCACTAGAATGCCATGTCCAAGCTCTGCTCCCAAGCGCAGGGGAGGCACAGGCGAGCCCCCTGTGGCATCCGCACCCAGAAACACCGGGCGCTCCAGCCTTCAGAAATGGTGCGAGCAGCATTAAGCTTTTGACGCTAAGGAAAAGCACAAACTCTAAAATGCAAACACAGTGGACAGCAAAGGGAAGAAACACCAGGTCACACAGTCGTTTAAGGGCTGTTCCAGGCTCTGGGGGCCTTCAGAGTTTTCTGCTTTGATGTCTGCAATGATATGAAGGGCCCTCCCCTGCACTGAAGAGGGGAGGACAGGAAACACAGTGTCGTGCGTGCTTGCTAGGGACCGAGGGCAGAAAGCACACTTCCCTGGCCACATGCTGCAAGCACAGGCCGGGAGCTCGGGAGGCCCCAGCCACATTACCCAGCCGGCAGCTGGGCGAACTCACCTTTCTTCTGTGGACCCGAGGTTTTCAATTTCATTAGCTACCTCTGCTATCTCATCCTTGAGCCTCTACAAAACAGATAATCCAGAATTACCAGGGGGGCCGATGCAAGCGAGAGGAGCCCCTCTAACAGCTCACAGAACTCCCTCCAAGCAAAAACAAGATAAAGCAAAGCAAAATAAAATAAGGCAACCAGAAAAAAAGTCTTTAACATTCCAGAAAATTCATCTGTTCAACAAATATTTGTTGAGGTCCTACCGGATAGTAAACATTCCGAGGAATACACAGGTGAGAAAGATAGCTCCTGACCTCAAGGATCACAGTCTAGGGAAGAAACTCATAAGCATACACACCATGTAAAATACGTATTTTTTCACTGAGATGGCTGCGCTGCGACAGCGCGACAGTGGATCGGAGCATCCCTGTAGCTCGCTAAGCCAGTGTGAGAGGGCTCAGGAGGAAGGACACACGCCCAGCCTGCGCGGCCCGCGGTGCCTGGGCTGGGCCAACACTGCCGCCAAGCGGCTGGCAAGGGGAATGGCCAACCCGAGCTCCTGCCTCCCCTCAGCCCCTTTCGTGGGTAAGGCCGACCCTCAGAATGGAGGGTCACGGTCACGGCGGAGGGGGCCTGGGGTGAAGAACTGCTAGGATTTCCTAGCATTCACCAAAGAGGAATCAAAGGATTAGGGCAAGTGATCGATTATACTGAAGTCAACAGCACAGCAAGTCTTTCCTTTCCACTCTCTGCAGCTTTGGGGACCCAGAGTAGGTCCCTGCCCTCCTCTCCCCAGCCCCGAGCTCCCAAATGTTCTACAAAGAATTCTACAAGAATAACATCTGCTGCCCTAAGGGCTAAAATAATCCAACCAATGGCTTCTATGACTTCTGTCCTACAAAGCTTCACAGCTCCACAAAGGATCTCAGAAACACTGATGAAACAGCGCTTGCTGCTTAAATATCTCACAGGGACGAGCAGAGACGCTAAGTCCTGTAGCAACAGGGCCTCATTTACCCCTGATGGCAACCCATCAACAGGTGCTTTCACTCGTTATCTTACAGCTGAAGGAACTGATGTTCAAAGAACCCGATTCCTTTTATCTGAGATCGCTCCTCCAGCAAGGGGCCGAGAGCCAGGACCGGACGTGGGTCCAGCTTCACCCGAAGTCCGTGTTCCAAGCCCCTGAGCCCTCACCCACACCCCACTCGGTAGTGAGAACCCCGCCTGGGAGTCAGAGGGCCCGGGTCACCTAGTTGTGACAACTGACCAGCTAGGGGAGGGTTCACGGACCACCCGACCTAAGAGTCCATCTTCTCACCGGTGAGACCCGCATGACTACACTTTCCTCAGAGCTGGGGCGGGGTCAGCTCAGAAGGCGCCTCTCTGTAAAGGACAGCTGGCACCGGGCGGGCGGGCGTCCCTGCTGTGACCTCCTACCTGAATGTCGGCCAGCAGCTCCTGCTTTCTCCGCCGGATATTCTCCAGTTCCTGACGCTCCTCTGCCGTCAGGTCACTGGGAACTGCAAGAAAGGAGGGAAATGTTACTAAGAAAGCTTTCTCTCACCAGAAACAAACAGACCCCGGAGACCACAAAAGGACAAGGACACCACGGAAGAAACTAGAAGCCCATTTTGGAAATGGGGACAGCTCTGGCTCCTGTTCTCCATCAGCTTCACCAAAGGAAGCAAGCGCCCTGCTCTCAGAGAAAAGCTCTGCTGAAGGCGCACTTGCCATGGAAACAAGAGAGAAAAGGCAGCCTGAGGTCAAATGAGGTTGGCCAGGGATAAAAGGGGACTGTCAGCCGAGCCCTGGCCATCTTCAGCCCTTGCGGCGGGGACACTGGAGGCCCCCGCACTGGGCCCACCCCGATCCACAACCACGTCCACGATACCCGTAAGTGGGGAGGGGACAGACTACACACACGCAGGGGGGAGAGTCCAGAAGGAGACGCCCCACCTGAGCGCTTAACTCTGAGGACAGGGTGACTTCACCCGGGCTTTGCACGCTTCCCGCTGCGTTTTCCTGCGCTCTCCTCCACAGAGTCCCTGAGTTCCCAGTTCTCCCCACACAACACTTCCTCCCCCGACACGCACAGGGGCTTGGACAGAAGCCCCCTCGCAGGGCCCTTCTGAATGTGCTGGGGAAAGGCAGGGGGTCGGGAAAACCGGGGTTCGAATCCTGGCTCCAACCCACCAGCAGCAAGCAGGGGCACCCTGCCCCAGGCAGCCCCTCGGCCCAAGGCTCCACGCGCTCAGCAGGCCGCCGTAAGGACAGAGTCCAGCGGGGAACGCGGGAGCCGCAGAGCCTTGGCTCCTGTTTCCTTCAGGGCAAGAGCAAAAGGCACCCACGTGGCCTGATGGAGGGGGCAACACAGGGATGCTTCTCCACCCGGGTGGCGCCTGAACAAGTTAGAACGGCACCTCGTGGCACAGGCCACAGGTGGCTACCAAGCACCTGAGATGTGACTAGACCAGTTCGAGATGGACTATGTGTGTAAAATACCCGCCAGACTCTACACGAAAAGGTAAAATAGCTCCTGAATATTTTATACTGATCACACATTAAACTCATTACTTGATAAATAAAATATACTATATCTCAACTGATGTCACTTGGGCCATGGGAAGTAACGCTGCATTTTGTGACTCTTACTATATTTCTTTCTTTTTTTTAAAAAAAAGATATATTTATTCATGAGAGACACAGAGAGAGGCAGAGACACAGGCAGAGGGAGAAGCAGGGTCCCTGCAGGGAGCCCGATGCAGGACTCGATGCCAGGACCCCGGGATCACACCCTGGGCAGAAGGCAGAGGCTCAACAGCTGAGCCACCCGGGGCCCGGCCCCTCTTACTATATTTCTACTGGACAGCACGGAGCTGGAACAACAACAGCTCTGCCTACAAGCTTGGACCTGTGACTCCCTTTCTGGGACACTGAGACTTTATTGCACTTGGAGACTTTCCCCAAGTATTTCATAAAAATCATGGAAGACAATAAAATAGGGTAGAAACAACTGGCAACAGTGATGTCTACAGCACAGGTGAATTACCTCCCTTAGGTAAGCTGGCTTTTTTTTTTTTTTTTAAGTAGGCTGCACACCCAGCATGGAGCCGGACGTGGGGCCTGAACCCACAGCCCTGAGATCAAGATCTGAGCTGAGACCAAGAGTTGGACACTCAACCGACTGAGCCACCCAAGTGCCCCAATGTTCCCCCCCAATCTTCTCTCGAAAAGTGTCTTTTAAACTTCTCCAAGACACACTACAGAACGCATTTGCCACCTCGACCCGATCTTCTCCATACACAACAGTACCAGAAACGTACCTTCTTTGTGTGACATCCACTGACATTTTCAATCATCTTACCCTTCATGTTCTTCACAATGGCTGTGATGTCACAGCCTAACTAATTCACCGAGTCCTACAGTAAGGAAGCACCCATGTCAGAGGCTGGGGGATTCCAGTCCAGGTCACCTTCGAGGAGTGACCTCACCGCATCCCGGGGAACTCCGAGGGAACAGTCACCAGTGCTGGACTGGGGACAAATCAGCTCAGTTAGAGTGAACACCACCCTGAGAAACAACACAGACTCTCCCAATGCAGACTCCAATCTCAAGAAAAGCACACCTGAAGGAATTAATTCTGGTTTTTCTGGATTTCACAGAGAAGAATTTCTAGTCCATGAAGACTAGAAGATCTCTTTAAGAAATAATTTCCTGAGGTTCTAGAAGACAAATGTTCATTCTAATATAACACGGTGTTGAAAATTTGAGGCAATAGTTCATTTTTAATAGCTGTTCCATAGGGGAGAATAATCAGGCTTTGGTTTTGAAGCCACAGAGTCGGCTTAATCAGATCAACGGGTCCCTAACTGAGCAGAGGTAAGATTAAGGCCCTCGGAATGAGGCTGATGAAAAACAGACCCAGCATGTAGAAAATTTACATCTCTAGATTGCTGTGTGCCCCGGGAAGCCAATGTTTCTCATTCCAGATTGGAAAATCTCTGTGGTTGCTTTCTTGTGAGAACCTCAGCACCCAACCAGTCTGGGATCACAACCACACACGGCCATTTGTCTAGAGGGTCACAATCTATAGTTTCTGTGTTATAAACTCAGAATGTGCTGCCAATCCTCTACCTTCCAAGATACTATCGTAGAAACAGTAGAGGAATTTTTAAAAAGCTATCAACCTCCTATGTCAAGTACAGGAAGCGGGGCCATGGCAAAAATGATTTCAACAAACTTCTGGGACAGAGAAGCAGAGTGCCAACTCCTCCTCCTGGAAGGCAAAAACTCCACGGCAGTGGGGGCCTCGTGCACCTATCACTGCCACGTCTGCAGTGCCCAGCACAGTGCCTGACACACCAAAGGCTCTGAATGTGTATTTACCTGAGGCCAAACAAAAGAACTGAGCAGAGCAGCTAGGCTGGGAGACCTGGGATTGCCCTACAGCGAAGCAGGTTCAGTCCAGCCAGACTAAAGCACAGCCACGCTGCACACACGCCCCCACCCCACCCCACGGAGCTCCCATTTAACCTGTCCACCGCGCCTTTCTTACACCCACAGAGATGGCCGAGCCTACGGACCAAATGAGAAGCAGCAAGGCAGGGAACAGAAAACCCGAGGAGCAGAACAAAAGAAAACTTCAAAAGAACAGAAAACTCTGAAAAAGGGACAATTAAACAATACACTCCTGGAAATTAAACATATTTTTGTCCTCCAGCCTCCCCGCACTCCCCCCCCCCCCCGCCAAGTCAAAAACAGATGAAAACATAAAGGTGAGGCACTCCTGCAGAATAAAGAGCAACAAGACTTAAGATAGAAGCAGAAGTGGACTCACTCAGAGGCACATTCACTGTAAAAATTCAGAAGTTGGAGGATTCCAGGTGACCCTACAACCTCCATGAGAGCAGGAAGAGAAAGGAGGTGGCCGGTGTAACAGCAGACACTGTGAGACGGGGGAGGGGCTTTCGAGGTCTAAATAAACATGATTTTGACCCTAGAATTCATTCTCAATGTGGAGGACAAGACGGAATCATTTCAGCCACAGGACTCAGTTTATCTCCCGTGCTCCTTCAGGAGGAGGAAGCCGTGCACACGGGGGCGAGGGTGGTGCAGCCCCGGGAGCCCACGGAGGACACGCGCTCTGCTCTCGTGCGTGGACAGAAAGCCCAGATCAGAGCAGGAAGCCCACCGACAGGCTGCAAACAGTTCATCCCAGAGGAGGGCTGGCAAGGCAGCTGAGAAGTATTTCCAGTGTGTGAAGGCACCACAGGGCCTCCTCTCAACAGAACAGAAAGCATCACTGGAAATAGAGAAACAAACACTAAAAGGAATCAGGAGCCAGCCGGGCGGGCAGCCCTCAGCGGAAGGCAAGAAAGCAGAGTCCCCTGGACCTTAGTGCTGGGAGCAGCTCCCGGGAGAGGCTCCCAGCTGAGCAGCAAGCACATCCTTGTAATGGTGCTGTGTAGTGGTCAACTTTTCCAGTCAATCTGTGAACAAAGCATGAAGGCTACTTTAAATCATGCGTCATCGATGGCGAAGGCCAGAGGGACGGGGGTCCCTACGGCACCCGCTTACAAAAAAGCAGGGACAGAGATAACAGATCAATGAACACGAAAATGATGTTGTAAATATGTGTATGGAAGTTCCTAAAATGAAAACGAAGCAAAAACTGGTAAGCCATCAAAAATGGACAGGGAGAGAGTGAAAAGGAGGAAAATGTGAAGTGGAAGTGGCCAAGAGACCATCTCTTTGATAAAATCATCAGTGGGATGAGAACACTAATACGCACTTGGCAGCACCTACCAGAAGATAAAAGCCAGAAAAAGTTAATTATTAGCGGCTGCTTCTGGGGAGTGGGTCGGGAACAGAGAGATGGGGCCTATGAACTCCTGAATACTTGCTTTAAAAAAAAATACATGAAGGTACTATTGCATTCTTTTTAAAGATTTTATTTATTTGAAAGACAGAGGAGGCACATGAGAGCATGAATGGCGGGGAGCGGGGGGCAGAAGGAAAGGCAGACTCCCCCACTAGGCAGGGATCCCAGGATCATGACCTGAGCCACCCAGATGCCCCCATACTACTGCACTTTTCTTAAGATTTTATTTATTCATGAGAGACACAGAGAGAGAGGCAGAGACACACAGGCAGAGGGAGAAGCAGGCTCCTTGCAGGGACTCGATCCCGGGACCCCGGGATCCCGCCCCGAGCCGAAGGCAGACACTCAACCACTAAACCACCCAGGTGTCCCACTACTGCACTTTTAAAATGAAAAATAAAGGGGCGCCTGGGTGACTCAGTTGGTTGAGCATCTGCCTTCAGCTTGAGTCATGATCCCAGGGTTCTGGGATCGAGACCCCATGTCAGGTTCCCTGCTCAGCGGGGAGCCTGCTTCTCCCTCTCTCTGCTGTTCCCCCTGCTTGTGTGCACATTCTCTGTCAAACAAATAAACAAAATCTTTTAAAAAATGAAAAATAAAAATGTTAATCCTAGAAAAGACGGGCCTTCTACCTCCTGGTGGTCAGAAGGAAGCGGCGTCTGGGTAATTTGCAGCAGGAATAAACAAGACATTTATTCACATGTGCTTTGCTGCTGCCTCCTGACATCACCCACAGGATCTCTAAACCCTCTCTGTGTTCCACCTTAAATCACAGCGCTGTCTGACTTATGGTTCAGCAAATCATCTGAGAACTTCTCCTTTTAAAGAAGGGCAGGTTTACATCTCATCTGTCTAGTGGGATTCTTCCCTGAGTCCAGGAAAAATCTAGCACCCTAACACACGTACCTCTTGCACTTAGACGCATCAAGGTAAGGTCACCTCCCCACTTCAAGCCCTCGCTCGCACACTGCCCAGGAGGAAAATAAATGCCGTGGAGAAAATGCTTCATTTCACTTAAGGGCAAAGAGAAATCAAAACCGTGGCTGGAGAGGGAGCGGGGTGAGCGACCCCCAGGATGGGGCAGGCCGCAGCCAGCCGGGGCAGGAAAGGAAGACACAATCGTGCGCACTCGGCACCCGGCACCCCGCGTGGCTGGATAAACAGCAGGGCCCCCAGGAAGGGCCCGGCCCTGGGACCGAGGCTTTCCCTCCTCTCCTCGAAGCCATGAGGGTTAAACTGTAAGAGATCGGCTGCCGGGCCAGATGGCAGAGAAACAAACAACTCCTCCCTCCCCCGACTGCCACGTGCTGCAGCCCCACGTCTGTGCCAGGAGGGCGGCTAAGCCCCCTTCTCCTGAAAAGAACCAGGGCGGCAGCAGCCCGAGCACAAAGGATGGGGGGCAGAGCGCCGGGGGCCTAGAGGCCTCGGGAATTCACTCCTGCAAAGGTTAATTTACAAGGTGTCCCCCTTCCAGCGAGGCGGCCAGGCCAGGATGGGCCCCCCCACTCCCTCCCGGGGTTCCAATTCAGCGAAGGGGATTAAAGTGCGTGCAACAACAAGGGACCATTGTGTTCAGCTGTGAATAGAAAAGCCACACAAGGGAAGCTTCCATTTATTTCTTTATTTAAATGTTGCTCTGCAGATTTTACCAGTGCAGAGCCCCAGAGCTGAAATGTGCTCCATCCAGCACATACAAAGGAGGACTGTCTTAAAGGGGCAGCTCCCATAAACAAGCACATGGCGGCAAGGACGCTCCGCCGCTCCCCCGCAGCCGGAGCAGGTGCCCAGCGATCCGCCATGAAGTTCAATCGAGAAAGCAGTTCTGAGAGCAGTTTGTGCTCAGCGGGAGCACAGGCAGCCGCCTGCCACAACGCACACTCTGTCCTACATCCCCGAAGCGTTAAAGATGTGCTTTAGGACCAAGACATTGCTCTCCGGGGTCACCCCCCTATACCAGGTCCTGCTGCCTCGCTTTAAAACACACCCCTTGCCTTGTTTTTCCAACCATAATCATCAACCATCGCCCTTCTTATATATAGCCTCTGCCTTTCAGTGGGTAAGAGGGGTCCAAATTTACACCAGCACAGCAGGGAAATGTTCTTAAGAAGTGAGGCCAAGAATCTAGAAAGGTCCTTCCTTTTCCCCACATGTGCAGAAGGTAAACAGACAGGAGAGAACATCCTGGGCCACGTTCCCACCCAGGCCAGGGGGTGCATCCGAGTGTCCAGATGTGCTGCTCCCGGGCCTGCAGAGCACTGGTGCCAGAAGTACCCCTGCTAATAATAATAAGCAAGGCCAAACCCTTTACAGACCTGTAAGTTTTATGAAACTGAAAACACACAGCCTGCAAAACCTAACTGCAAGCCCCAGCTAAAACAGGAGCAGCAGCGGCAAAGTGGAGGACCAAGCTTTCTCATGCCTCTCTAGAAACTGCTACCAGCTCTGGAGAGAATAGAGCTATTTACAGCTTTTGGGTTCCAGAGTGCAAATCTGGGAAACTGTCCAAGGGAGTGAAGGCAGTTTCCTTCCCTTCCCCGGACTTAAAAGGTCAAAGGGCCTGCATTTACCAACCTCATACCTGTGCAGATCCTACCGGTTAGATGTCTCATGCTGCCCCACCCTATGGGGGTGAGTCATCTGGTCTCCCAGGAAGTCCCAGTGACTTACAATGTGAAAGATTCAGAACAGAAAGAACTCAGGTGTTGGAAACCAACATTTAGCAAACGTTCACAAAACTCCATTCCAAGCTGATAAGATCTGGGGTCAGATCTTTACAACAGGTATAAGGACGCAACCAACATCCACGGCATCTCTCAGGTAAAGGGCAATACAGAGAGAAGGAAAACAAACAGCTGTAATGACTCAGGAATTTCATTGAAAGCCTCAAATTTACAGACAGGCCAGGCCTCAGGACAGCTGGCATGACCAGAGGGCAAGAGAGGGTAGACGGTCGGAGCATGTGGATATGACCCAAGCCCGAAACTTGGTGGCATCCATGAGCCAACAGCGCATATGTTCATGTCATACCTTTACAGAAAGTCTGCCAACTTTAGAAAACCAGTTACTTTTCCTTCCAACTAAGTCAAACCATGGCAATCCAGTATCAGTCTTTCTACCTCAGAAAGGAAGGAAATCCTGATGCCTGCTACAACATGGATGAACCTTGAGGACACTGTGCTCGGTGAAATCAGCCACATGCTACAGGATTCCACTTCTGTGAGGTCCCCGGAGCAGCCAAACCCAGAGACAGAGTAGGATGGAGGCTGCCAGGCGCTGGGGCTGGGGCTGGGGGATGGGGAGGTGGTGCTGACTGGGGACGGAGTTCCTGTTTCACAAGATGGAAACTTCTGAAGCATGGTTGTACAACAATGTGAATATGCATAACGCTACTGGACCCGTACACCTAAAATGATAAATTTTATTTTGTGTGTTCTTTACTATAATTAAAAGTAAACCAAACATACAAAAAGCCAACAGCAGTATCTTGATTTCCTGATTTCTGCTTACTGTACTCCTCTTCCATGACTAACTTATTAAGTGTTTCACCACAGTTTATGGCCTAGGAGATTTTGGTTCTTTTTTAAAGATTAATTGACTGATTGATGTTTAGAGAGTGAGGGAGCAAGGGGAGCAGCAGAGGGAGCGAGAATTGCAAGCACTCTGTGCTGAGCGCGGAGTCCAATGCGAGGCTCAATCTCATGACACTGAGGTCATGACCTGAGCCAAAACCAAGAGTCAGACGCTCAACCTACTGAGACACCCAGGCAGCCCCGCCTAGATTTTAAAGGAATTTGTGTACACAGCGTGGACCAGAAAGAGTTAAATTAGCTCGAGGCCAGCATAACTGATACTCAACACAGAGGCCAGAGGCTCCTTCTAGCAAACTGCCAACGCGAACATTTACTCTTCCAGTTTAAATTCTTTCCCCCACAAAAGCCACCCAGTCTCCTACCTAGGACGAAGGACAGATACATTAACTATTTTATTACCATTTTTTTGCATTTTAAGACAAACTCTGTCCCCACCGCTGTCTTGCAGCTGGCTCATCTAACCCCTGCCCGGATGACTCAAGCCTCCTTAGTCCAGAGGAGAGGCTAACTGGGGTTGGGGTGGGAGGGGACACCTGCGGGGGGCTTTCCCTGCCGAGATAGTTCTGTGACCTTGGGTAACCACCACCTCATCCAGCCTCAACCGGAATGGGTCTGTCATCATCACAGCCCTTCTCAAATGAAAGAACATGTATGAAACAGACACAAAGACGCCTGGCTGGCTCAGTCGGTGGAGCGTGCAACTCATGATCTCAGGGTTGTGAGTTCAAGCCCCATATTTGGTACAGAGATTACTTAAAAATAAAAGCTTTATTTAAAAAAACCCCCAAACAGTCCCATAAACTTAGAAAAAAACAAGGTATTTTATCTTCTTACCTTACACACAGAAGGGAAGGGACACATTTTATCTAACAAATCCTAGAACTCCAGCACTAACCAGCCAACCAAAGGGAAATGAGGTCAAATTTCAAGGTAGTAAAAGGGATGAAGTCATAAAATTGTATCCTAAAAGTTTGGTTTAGAAAAACAAAGTTAACATCTGCTTTCAATAAAAGGTAAAACTAGGAAATAATCATTTAAAAACCTCTCCACCTTTTCTAAAGCCTGGCAGTGGTAAGCTCCGATCCAGCTGGAGTTTTGCAGCAGGATTCCTTCTGGCGTTCAGACTTCCAATCTGTGTCTGCAAAGCTGTTTTTGAAAGGATCACAGGAATGGAAAGCAGGGCTGGACCAGCCCAACAGGGAGAACCATTTTCTCGCGCTGGCCTCCTTGAGACAGAGGAGAGTGCTCAGCTCGCGGGGAAAGCCTGGGAATTCCCTACCCCAGCAGACAGACCAAGTCATCTGTGCTTGCCCCTCTCTCCCGAGGGAAGGGGCTCCAGAAACGCCCCGTGCCAGCTGCCGTCTCCCACTGCACAGCTGTGCCGCCACACCCCTTTCAGTCCAGAACTGGGGCTCAGTGGGGGCTTTAACAAGTCAGTTCTCACTTAACCTGTTCCTGAAACCAATCTATGCCAGCTCTTCGTAAAGCCCTTAATTTTTTGGCACACTGAAACGCTCTCGGTCGGCCTAATCGCTGGAATGGACCCCTCGGATCAAATGAAACGTGCGATTCCAACTCCTTTTCTGGACATATTGCTGGAAGGAGGGCTAACACCCCCCCCTCCCCGGAATGGTTCCAAAGTATTCAAAGAGTCCAACAGAAACTCACGGGGTGGGTCCAGAGGAGAGAGAATCACCCTGAACCTGTCCCCCTGCTTCCCGCTGTCCTATTCGCCACCTCACCCCTCACAGGGCCACCAAAATCGGCCATCGGCTTGTTCCTAAATCTCAGGCCTAGAAGAAAGCCCCCTGAACATTTGAACATCTACCCCGAGGAGCCAGTGGGAAAACCCTAGGAGGAGAGAGCAGAATGCAAAACCACAAGGCAGTCATGCAGAGAGACGCTGCCGCACGCATCGGCTCTGCTGCGGGGTGGGAGAGGCTGGCAGCAAAACATAATAGAGCGGGATCCGCATGCTCTGCGTGGCACTCTACGCGACCAGCTCGCGCGCCATCCACCGGCCTCTTACCCAAGGCGAGTCCCCTCTCCTGCAGCCCCAGCGTCAAAGCCTGGGCAGCTGGCAGCTCTCCGCTTCAGAGGCCATGGTGGGCCGCCACCGCCACCCCGCCGTCCCCGGCTCCTGGGTGCTCCCACTGCCCCAGGGGGACGGAGGGGCGCAGCAAGCACGGCATGTGTGCCGGCACAGCCAGGGTACGGGAGGCAGCGAGGAAACAAAGGCCAAGTGGAAACCGAGGGTGGAGAGAGCGCGGGTCCTGGAGCGGAAGGCTGCGGGGGCAGAGCCGGCGGAGCAGGAGCGGAGCGGAGCGGCCAGCGGCTGACACTTGGCGTGCTGGCCGCTGTGCTGGCCGCTGTGCTGGCCGCTGTGCTCGCCGGGCGCCGCGCAGGCAGGCGGATTTCCATGAATGCAATTACAGCGGCCCCTCCTCCTGCCCCCACGCACGCGGCCTCCCGGGGGAGGGCTGCACCGCTCCTGGCAGGCTGCGCTCGCTTTTCTTCACCCCCGAGAAGCAGAAGGCTGATGGCTGCCTCGCGGGGGGATGTTAACCCTTCCTTTAGACGCCCTCTCGTTACCGAGCCCAGAAACGACAGGGAGGCCCGCGGAGGGCCTCCTCCTGCTCCCGCGGGGGGGGGGGGGGCAGGCAGTGACGCCGGCCAGGCTGCCCCCGTGCCCCACACAGGTGTGCTCCGGCCTTTCTAGCAGAGGGCTTGCCTTCCACTCGGTCACCAGAGGTGGCAACGTCCCATTCCAGGGCACGCTGGTTAGGAGGAGTTCGAAGGCTGACCTCGCTGGGCTCGGGGACAGTACTCTAAGTGGGCTGGCGACAAGGAACATCCCTGCAACCGGAGAGCAGCGGCTCTGAAACCTCAGGGGGCATCATCAAACACCCCGGCTTGGAGCCTCGGACCCCAAGATGTGGCTCCCACGTGAAGGTGGACCAGAAGATGACTCGAGGCCACTGTCTGCAGGCCACTCGGGGGAACACTACCTTTGACTAGTGAGGGAAGAGACGGAAGGTTTTAAAAACAAATGCCAAACAAGCAGGCAGGCAAAAGAGAAGCCATGACACCAGGTCAGGGCTCTGTGACCTCGGTGCTGCTGACCTTCTGGTGGCTCAGTCTCCCTCACGGGGGTGTCCTGGACAATGCAGGAGGTTGAGCTGCTGATGCCAGGGCGCCCCCACCACCTCACCTCCAGATGTACAACCACAGCGTCTCCAGACACTGCCAAATGTCCCCTGGAAGGCAAAACTGCCCAGCCTGGAAACCACTGCTCCACATAAACAACAAAGGAGAAAACAAAACCAAAACATCCCAGGCCCTCCCCTGCCTTCCAGTCTGCTGTCCTTAGGAAAGTGCCGAGAGGAGGCACCCCCGGCAGGCCTGTCCCCTCCGTGCCCCTCGCCATACTAATGTGGGCTCCATGCTCTGGGGATTCCTTGTCACCAGGACAGGGTCTCCAGACCCGACCCAAATACCCCAACTCTGCAGCCCAGCCTACGCTTTTTTTTTTTATATATAAATATTTTTTTTTTATTTATTTATGATAGTCACACAGAGAGAGAGGGGGGCAGAGACACAGGCAGAGGGAGAAGCAGGCTCCATGCACCGGGAGCCCGATGTGGGATTCGATCCTGGGTCTCCAGGATCGCGCCCCGGGCCAAAGGCAGGCGCCAAATCGCTGCGCCACCCAGGGATCCCCAGCCTACGCTTTTTAAGAAACAGCCATAATATGAACAACTTTATTTTTGTACCAAAATGGCAGTTCTCATCTTTAAGAATCCTATCAAGTCTATGAGAAATAAGCCCTAAAATTATTTACGAATTCTTTGTCTTAGGCTGCAAATGGAAACCAGCTTTCAACAAAGGTGTAGACTGAGAACCACACCCCACTCCTGCCATCTGCTAGGGCACCCACCTCTCGCCCGCGGTGGAAGGTCCTCCTCCTCCTGGCTCCACCAGAGCTCTCACTCCCAGCATCTCTTCACCTCCTTCTTGTTTTTAGGGGCTCTTCCTCACCATTCCTCAAGAGTTGCTGCTCACAGGGAAAACTCTGGGGTCATGGTGGCCAGGCTCCCCTCTCAGTTTACACCTGCTGGTCATCACCTAACATCTCCCCCACACCACCTCTCTCTGTGTCTGTATCATGCAGTTTACCGCCTGCCAATGCAGTCCTACTACCAGGGGTTTCATCTGCCCAGTAAGATCTCATACTCTAAGTGTATAACCAGGGCTATACACTTAGCCCCTTTTTGAGGCAACATCCCTAGTTTTTTTTTTTTTAATATTTTTAATTTATTAGAGAGAGACAGAGAGAGGCAGAGAGAGAAGTAGGCTCCATGCAGGGAGCCCGACGTGGGACTCAATCCCGGGTCTCCAGGATCACGCCCTGGCCCAAAGGCAGCGCTAAACCGCTGAGCCAGGGCAGCCCCGGATGGCTCAGCAGTTTAGCGCCACCTTCAGCCTAGGTCCTCATCCTGGATTCCCAGGATCGAGTCCCACATTGGGCTCCCTGCATGGAGCCTGCTTCTCCCTCTGCCTGTGTCTCTGCCTCTCTCGGTGTCTCTCATGAATAAATAAATAAAATCTTTTAAAAATAAATAAATAAACCGCTGAGCCACCGGGGCTGCCCACATTCCTAGTTTTTACACAAATACAGCAGAGATTTACAAATCCCAGCAGGTGACTGCTGACCTCTCACCTCCTGTGCCAGCCCAGGTCATAACACACCAGGCTCACATACCGCACCTGCTACAACAGAGTGACCAGAGGATCTGCAGCTGGGCCCGACCTGCAGCGTGTGACGCTGGACAAAGGGTCAGCTAGAATCTGGGCCACAGGCAGCTGGGAGCAAAGCCCATAATAGTCAATTCTCAGCACGGACAGTACGACCCAAGATGTGAGCAGACAAGAAGCTCAAGGAAAAACTACCAGCAGAAAGTCTGCAGCGTCCCTCCTCATGTATAAAGAAGACGGATGCGAAAACAAACAGCCCCATCATCAAGTTCATGAACTCACAGTGATCAAAGATAAAGACCACTCACAGGTGAGTTAGTCATCTCTGGAAATCCACAGAGAGAAAATAAAAGTTTTTCTTTCTTTTTTTTTTTAATTTTTATTTATTTATGATAGTCACACAGAGAGAGAGAGGCAGAGACACAGGCAGAGGGAGAAGCAGGCTCCATGCACCAGGAGCCCGACGTGGGATCCGATCCCGGGTCTCCAGGATCGCGCCCTGGGCCAAAGGCAGGCACTAAACCGCTGCGCCACCCAGGGATCCCAAAGTTTTTCAAAATGATTTTGAGACTGTTAATTCAACAATCTTAAAAAAAAAGAAAAGAAAAAAAAGGAAACGTACCACCCATGAATAAGGCACCCTGTTAGCTAGTGTAGAAGGTACAGAGATCGTTACTATTCCCTTCGAAAGAAGACAGGCAGGTATGTGCAAAGGAACTGTGGCAACAGATGCTGGGGGTGGGATACCGTGACCATGGCGGCCACGCTGCCACAAGGCTCCATGCGGGACCTGAGGCTGGAGCCTAGTCTGAAGGTTGGAGCCAGGAAGGAGGGGCCCCTCCAGGCTGGGGAGTGTGACAGTCATAGGGTGGAAAGGGGAGAACGTGCTGGAAATGTGGGGGAAGCTGGGGTCACACTGGGTCCCCCTGACACGAAGCCTCTGGAGTCTATGCTGGGGTTGAGTGGCCAGAGAAGCACAGGAGCACCTCAGGAAGAGCAGGGAGTGGCTGCGAGGGGCCTGAGAAAGAACAAGGACTGGAGGCTTTCCGGGGGTCACCAAGGAACAGTGACGGGGATACTCGGCACCTGTCCAATGCAGCAGAACTGGGGTTCAGAAGTTGGGGCGCAGACACAAGTGTCTTCTGCCCCTGCCAGTGCTCCCAGCCCAACCACAGCTCACATCCTGCCTCCCACCATGAGGCCTCGGCCCACGGAACCAGCCCCGGAGACCCTCCACCACGCAGGCAGGGGCATCTGCACAACCTCGGAGGTGGAGCTGAATTCCGATCTTGCCATTCATCAAGGGCCCAAGCGTGAGGCCCTGCCAGACCCCGGCTGACCCAGGCAGAGAGCCTGACTCAATCTCCGCTCTGCGTCATGCGACAACCGAGACACGGAGCTTTAATAGCTGTAATCCATTCCTGATACTTAAAAGTACTTAATTTTTCTTTAGTAGAAGCTAGACGTGTAAATACTTCTCACAAGAGGCAAAGACACCTGTTCCCACGGAGAAGGGCCTGGAGATCTCGAGAGAGAGCCGTTGTTTCTACTCTAACCCCAAAGTAGAAAACCCTGGCTCCCAGAACCGGACACTGGCCCTTACCAGAGCCGCATGGGGTCCCGGGAAGGGTTTCTGAAGTCTGACAAAGGGCTGGAGGCACCAGCCTGGGCGCCCGCCTTCTGCATCACAGCAGGTCTCAGTGGCCACTCCCGGGCAGGGCGACACCAAGATGGGGCCTCCTCACAGCACCTGGCAGGCCAGGGCCGTATGCATTCTGCTTGGAGAGGTTGCTCTTGGAGTCCTCTACCTCCGGCTCTTTGCAGAGGGCAAGGCTGAGCAGGGGGGCGGTGCAGCAGGGAGGACAGCCAGGAGGCGGTGGCAGGAAGCAGACAAAGCTTAGTTCCACGTTCTCTGCCCTTCAAGCCCTGGGGTGACACTTCTCCCTCTGCAACATGAGCTCAGGAGGTGACTGACCCACAAGAGGGTGGGGGCTTGGCTATAAATTCCTGACACCAGGAAGGTTTCTGGTGGCCTCCCTCCAGTAAAACTGATCCTCACCTCTCGGCTGTTATCCTGGAGAGCATGATGCGATTGGTTTCCCTGGACAAATTCCCTTCCACCCCAAGCCCCCAAAGCCAGTGTGGCCACTGTGACAGGGCCAGCCTCTTCGTACGGGCAGGAGAGTCACCAGGAAAAGAAAAGGAGACGTGGGTAGAGGTTGGAAGACCCCAACAGGGCAAGGTCTCTCCTCGGTGTGTATGTCCCAGGTTTTAAAAATACTATGTACATCACCAACAAGATTTTTACAAAAATGATATAAGTAAAGTAATATTAAAGCTCTTAGGAGGGACGCCCAGGTGGCTCAGCAGCTGAGCATCTGCCTTCAGCTCAGGGTGTGATCCTGCAGTCCCAAGATCGAGTCCCACACCAGGCTCCCTGCATGGAGCCTGCTTCTCCCTCTGCCTGTGTCTCTCATGAATAAATAAATAAAAATTTTTAAAAAGCTCTTAGGAAAAAAAAATGTATATATGGTTAGTCCAGAAAAGTATGAAGGAGGAAAAAGGTGATGTGAAGGA